TGGTTCCAGTGCCGGCTGGACGGGCTCTGCATCCCCATGCGCTGGCGCTGCGACGGCGACACCGACTGCATGGACTCCAGCGACGAGAAGAACTGCGAGGGCGTCACCCACGTCTGCGACCCCAACGTCAAGTTCGGCTGCAAGGACTCAGGTGACGGCAGGAGGGAGGGGAAGGGCGTATCTGCCCCGCCTGCTCCGCGGGGCCGGGCTGGGAACTCGCGGCTGGGCTTCACGAGGCCAGGGACAGGGAGAGGGATGTGTGCAGGGCCCTGCCTGGCCCACAGGGCCTGGGGTGACGTGGGGGCCCAAGATCTGTGCGGTTGGAAAAGCCCCTGGAGCGTGAATTTAGGAGACATTTTTCCCCTTTTAGATTTGAAAACTCTGTGTTTTTTATTCGGAGGCAAAACGAAGTCCCCTGAGCTAGCAGCAGCTCTGGGGGCAGAGAGGACTTCTGGGTGATTGGAATAGCATCTCTTCAGTGTCTGATTTGCACCTTCTTCATTTGCCCCCTGCCAGCCCGCTGCATCAGCAAGGCCTGGGTGTGTGACGGGGACAGCGACTGTGAGGACAACTCGGACGAGGAGAACTGTGAGTCGCTGGTGTGCAAACCGCCCTCCCACACCTGCGCCAACAACACCTCGATCTGCCTGCCCCCCGAGAAGCTCTGCGACGGCTCCGACGACTGTGGGGATGGCTCCGACGAGGGCGAGCTCTGTGGTGAGTGCCGAGCCGGGCGCCGGGACCCCCAGCACCTTCCCTGACCGGGCGGAGGGAGGAGGAGAAATCCCTGACAGCCATACGTCTCCCCTCTCTGAACAACGGTGGCTGCAGCCACAACTGCACCGTGGCTCCCGGCGAGGGCATCGTGTGCTCCTGCCCGCTGGGCATGGAGCTGGGCTCAGATAACAAGACCTGCCAGATCCAGAGCTACTGTGCCAAGCACCTCAAGTGCAGCCAGAAGTGCGAGCAGGACAAGTACAACGTGAAGTGCTCCTGCTATGAGGGCTGGATGCTGGAGCCCGACGGCGAGAGCTGCCGCAGCCTGGGTGCGTGTGGTGGGGTGAGAGCTGGGGGCCCTGTGGGTTGCAGGGTTTTGCAGCGGAGCTGCAGACCATGCTGGCGGGGACCATGGCCTGGCCTGGTCTGGGCTGGAGGATCTGCCAGAAGAGGGTGGACCCCTCGCTGTCCCTACCCCGGCAGGAGCTGCCCTCTGCTGGAGACACGGCTCCGTGGCCACCTTCTCCCTCCCAGGGCCAGCCCAGAGCTCAGACCTGGCCTGTTTCCCCTCAGGAATTTTAAGCAGGGAATTTGCATCCGCCCTTGCTGGCCTCCTTCCTGCAGAGCAGAGAAGCGGCCCCGGGTCTGAGGGCAGAAGGGGCTTGGGGGACTCTGCCAGCCTGTGGGAACCTGCTTTGTGTGCAGCGGCAGCACTGTCCTGCCAAGGGTCTGCTGCCGCTGCGGGGGGGAGCCCAAACTCTCCCCCACCAAGGGCACAGCCATGTCCCTGTCCTCGGGCTGTCCTCATTGCGGTTGGCAGGCTTGATGGCACAAGAAAGGCAGCTCTGTTCCCAGTGCCCAGAGCAAGTGGCACAGCCAGGGGATGTTTTATCCGGAGCCAGAGGACGCAGCGGGGGGGTGCAGGCACCAGCGGGGCGAGAGCCTCGGCCGTGTGCGAGGCTAAGGAGGATTGTGATGGTACCCCAGGCTGGTTCTCCTCGGGGTCTGGCCACACAGGCTGGCCCTCCGAGCGGGGAGAGAAGAGAAGCGATGCCGGTGGTGGGGCGGGCAGGAGGGTCTGCGGTATGGGGATGCAGATGGTCCTGCAGCTGGGGCCGGGGGCCAGGAGCCCAGGCCACCTTTCACCCGCAGACATGAAGACAGTTGGTCCCATGCAGTTCCTGCCTTGTCCATGCCCCACTTCTGACGCTGCCTTCCTTTCCCCAGACCCCTTCAAGCCCTTCATTATCTTCTCCAACCGCCACGAGATCCGCCGCATTGACCTGCACAGGGGTGACTACAGTGTCCTGGTACCCGGACTGCGCAACACCATTGCCTTGGACTTTCACCTCAACCAGAGCTCGCTGTACTGGACTGACGTGGTGGAAGACAAAATCTACCGGGGAAAGCTGCTTGAGAACGGAGGTGAGCAGCCTTGGGGGCCCGGAGCAAGCTCGCAAAGGCCAGGCGGGTAGAAGGAGAAGCGGAGGTGCCTTTCTGGGAGAGGCACCCCAGCAATGGTGCAGTGGCTGGAGCCCACAGCCCCTGTAATGATCCCTGTCTACTTTCCAAGGCTGCTCATTATGTAGGAGTTAATTAGCATTCCCAATGCTTCCCTAATGGTAATTACAGCCCGGCAGCTGGGAGCACAAAGCCCAGACCCCCTGCCCCAGCGGTGCCTTCCGACGCTGGTGGTGCTGCGGGAGGGGTGAGCACCCAGCACCCAGCCCCAGACATGGGCTGGGATTTCCCCCCCCATCCGTGAGCTGAGCCCCTCGGGGTTCAGGCCATATTTCGGGAAGACGTTAATCTCACATGGGATGTGGGTTCCCCCGTCAAGCCAGGTGGACCTATTCAGGACTAGGGTGTGGTGGGTGCCTGCGGTGTGTTAGGGATGAGACTCCCAGCCTTGACTCTCCTGACACTGTTCCTCCCAGCTCTGACCAGCTTTGAGGTGGTGATACAGTATGGGCTGGCCACCCCCGAGGGCCTGGCTGTGGACTGGATCGCTGGCAATATCTACTGGGTGGAGAGCAACCTGGACCAGATTGAGGTGGCCAAGCTGGATGGCACCATGAGAACCACGCTGCTGGCTGGGGACATCGAGCATCCCCGCGCCATCGCCCTGGACCCCCGCTACGGGTAAGGCAGGAGGGGAGTGTCTGTCACCAGGGCACGATGCTTGATGTGAGAGGGGACCAAGCCACGTGCTCCTGCCTGGGAGCAGGCCCTGCTCTGCTGTTGTGGGAGGAGAAACTTGGTTTTCCCGCGTGCCGCTTGCTGAGCACCCCTCCTCGGTGTCCCTTGCAGGATCCTCTTCTGGACAGACTGGGATGCCAGCCTGCCCCGCATCGAGGCTGCCTCCATGAGTGGCGCGGGCCGGCGCACCATCCACAAGGAGACGGGCTCTGGGGGCTGGCCCAATGGGCTCACCGTCGACTACCTGGAGAAGCGCATCCTCTGGATCGATGCCAGGTAACAGCAGGATGCCACCTTCTGCCCTGGCACCGCCTCCCCTTCCCCACCCACCGTGGACCTCTGCCCATCACCCATCCCTCCCAGCTCTGGTGTCTTCCTGATTGCTTCTGTGTTGCTCAGCCCTTTGACTTCCAGGCTCCGTGCAAAGCCCTTGCTCTGGGGGGTCTGATGGTGCCTGTAGCGTCTTCCAGCCTTTGGTCTGGGTTTTCTCCTCTGCAGGAGCTCTAGCTCCCCGGTGTGAACCAGCGGCCATCCTCATCTGCAGCACTATGCAGAGCAGGGGCAGCGGTGGCTTGGACCCTGTGGGCTGTTGCTGTTGTGTGAAATGCTTGGCCCTTGCCTGTGCCCAGTCGTCAGCCTGCTCTCACCCCTTGTCTCCCTCTCCCCGTCTCTGTTGGGGTGCAGGTCAGACGCTATCTACTCGGCTCTGTATGACGGAACAGGGCACATCGAGGTGCTGCGGGGCCATGAGTACCTGTCGCATCCCTTCGCCGTCACCCTCTATGGGGGTGAGGTCTACTGGACCGACTGGCGCACCAACACGCTGGCCAAGGCCAACAAATGGACCGGGCATAACGTCACGGTGGTGCAGAGGACGAACACTCAGCCCTTCGACCTGCAGGTGTATCACCCCTCCCGGCAGCCACTGGGTGAGGCCTGGAGGAGGCTGTGATGTGGGGTGGGAGAAGCATGGTGGGGACACGGTGTTCGCGCTTGGTGCGCGCCTACATCCACTCTACATGTTGGGAGGGAGTTGTTTCCACTCACGGGCTTTATGAGGAAAAACGCTCCTACGGGCTGTGGGAGCCTGCAGACTGCCCCTGCTCGCCTGCCTGCTGAGCCAGGAGACCCCTCCATGGCCCTGGCTGCTGGTGCAGAGAAAATGCCCTGATTTGAGGAGGCCGATGGGTGAGGGTGGTCCGGCTCCTTCTCAGGTCTAGGGAAGGCAATAGGACGAGCTGTTCCTCGGCAGGGGCATCTGCAGGTCTCCCTAGAGCTTGTGGACAGGCGGCCCCGTGAACGGAGATGTTGCTGATTGTTCTCCCTTCGCAGCTCCAAATCCCTGTGAAGCCAATGGGGGCAAAGGGCCGTGCTCCCACCTCTGCCTCATCAACTACAACCGCACCCTGTCCTGTGCCTGCCCGCACCTCATGAAACTGGACAAGGACAACACAACCTGCTATGGTAGGGATGTACCTGGGGCTCTGCTGGGCTCCTGACTGGGCCTGGCTGCTCCAGGAGAGGAGGGAGGAAGAGAAGGTGCCCTGCTGTGGATCCTGCTGGGCTCGCCAGGGTGAGGTCCCACTACTGCCCCATCTCACCCCTTCTCCCCAGAGTTTAAGAAGTTCCTGCTGTACGCGCGGCAGATGGAGATCCGTGGTGTGGACATTGATAATCCCTACTACAACTACATCATCTCCTTCACGGTGCCCGATATCGACAACGTCACTGTGGTGGACTACGATGCCCTGGAGCAGCGCATTTACTGGTCTGACGTGCGCACTCAGACCATCAAGAGAGCCTTCATCAACGGCACTGGTGTGGAGACTGTGGTCTCTGCAGGTGGGTGAGGAGGAGCGCTCCTCTCTGCACCCTTGGCCCTCCCCTCTGGCCCCCATGACATGGCAGAGGTGGCTTTAGCTGTCGTGGCCGCTCCGGCCCGCTCCCAGAGCGGAGTAAGCTGCCGGGCTTCCAGGCCTCTGGCTTCTGGTCCACTTAATCGGCCCTTTCTCTCCAGTTTGAGCGCCGTCTCAGAGCCTGTCCCCACAACTAACGAGTCTCCCTTCGCCCTTGCCTTTCAGACCTGCCCAATGCTCATGGCCTCTCCGTGGACTGGGTTTCCAGAAACCTCTTCTGGACCAGCTATGATGCCAACAAGAAGCAGATCAATGTTGCGCGGCTGGATGGCTCCTTCAAGAACGCAGTGATTCAGGGGCTGGACAAGCCCCACTGCTTGGTGGTTCACCCCCTCAAAGGGTAGGTGCCCCTGCCACGGGCTGGCTCAGCAGCGCTGCAGCTCTGCGCTCACATCTCCAGCCCCAACATGCCGGGGGCGGTGGGGGCACAGGGTGCCAGCAGGCACAGATGCAGAGGGCCAGGAGCATCAAAGGAAGCGAAGGTGTGTGTGCAGGCACACGTGTGTGTGTGCATGACAGAGTCGGCGCACGTGCACAGTGCTGGGGAGAACAGGTTGCACTTTGTATGTGTCAGTGTGTGTAGGAGTGCTGTGAGAAAAGGAGATGGGCCGCAGCCTAGGAGGTGTGCATCTGCCAGTGCGCGTGGAAGAGCAGGCTGCGCTTCCGTACATGCACGTGTGTGTGTGTAGGAGAGTGTATGCAAAGCTGAACAGGCTGCAGATAAATGTTCAGCCATGAGCATGTGCCAGTCTGTGTGTGCAACAAGAAGAGCGCAGGCTGCAGCTCTGTGCACAGGGGTCTTGCTGGACGGGGTGCGCGTGTGCTTGCAAACACTGCGCTCGCTTCCCTGGGGCTGCGGGGCCTGGCACTTGAGAGAAGGGAGCAGCCAGCCTGTGCTGGTTGTACGGCACGAGGGAGAGAAGGGCCAGTGAAGGGTTTGCTGGAGCCTGAAGAGGAGGTGAGGGTGCAGGCTGGGATGGTGGGGTGCTGGCAGAGCTCGGAGGGACGGAGCAAGTAGGGGAGGTGTGGGTGGTTCCTGTTAGACCCACCGTGCTCACTGTGCTCTCATGGGTGCAGGAAGCTCTACTGGACAGATGGGGACAACATCAGCGTGGCCAACATGGATGGCAGCAACCGCACCCTCCTCTTCACCAACCAGAAAGGGCCTGTTGGTAGGTCCCCACACTGCTCCCTGGGGTGCTCCCGCCTCCCAGCTCCCTGGCGGGCCCAAATTGCCTCCAGCCCGCAATGGCAGCCTCCACTCCCTGCAGGACTGGTGGCGATTGGGGGGGAAGCACGCATGGTCTCCCCCGCTCCCCACCCTCTCTGCCAGTCCCTTCCTGCCTCCCGGGTGCTAGACCGAGCTGCTGACGCTCCCTTGCTTTCCAGGGCTGGCCATTGACTACCCAGAGAGCAAGCTGTACTGGATCAGCTCCGGCAATGGCACCATTAACAGGTGTAACCTGGACGGCAGCAGCTTGGAGGTGATCGAGACAGTGAAGAGCCAGCTGAGCAAGGCGACAGCCCTGGCCATCATGGGTGAGAGGTGGCGGGATGACAGGGGTGCTCGCGACTAGGGGAGGACGGGGGGCCGTTTGCAGAGCCGTATTCCTTTCCCAGGCTCAGATCGCCCTTTGCCACCTCTAGCAGCTCTGGGAGGGGATGAGACCCCTTTGTTTCCAGGTCATCGCATGTGAATCTGTGTGGAGCCGCAGCTCTGCCCTGCCGAGGGGAAGAGACGTGCGGCTGGGGGAGGAAGAGTGTGGGAAAGCTGCTGCATGCTCCTGCCTCCTCTCCGCACAGGCGACAAGCTGTGGTGGGCTGACCAGGCCTCGGAAAGGATGGGTACCTGCAACAAGAAGGATGGCACGGAGGTGACTGTGCTGCGCAACAGCACCACGTTGGTGATGCACATGAAGGTGTATGACGAGAGCATCCAGCAGGGTAAGCTCGCCTTCCCGCCAGCAGCGGTTCCCGCAGGGCCAGGGGGAGGCTCTCCTGCTCCGCTGGGAGCTGTGCCCGCAGTAGCCGGCCCTGTGACCGCCCTGGCCCTTCTCCCCACCGGCCCAAGCCTGCCCAGCATCCCTGCACCCCGTTCCTTGAGAGCTGTCAGAGCGCCCACACCTCCTGCAGCTGCACCATGCAGCAGGCAGCAATGGCTTGGGCTGCCCTGCAGCTGCCTGCAGCCCTGGGGGATGTGGCCCCAGCCAGCCCCCTGCCGTCCCTGACTTTCTCTTCTCTCCACGGTAGCTGGAACCAACCCCTGCAGCGTAAATAACGGCGACTGCTCACAGCTCTGCCTCCCCACTTCGGAGGTGTCCCGGTCCTGCATGTGCACTGCTGGCTACAGTCTGAAGAGCGGGCAGCAGTCCTGCGAGGGTGAGTCTGTGCCTGCTCTCTGCGCCCTTTACGGGAACTAGTGGCTCCAGGTTTAGAGGACGGACAGCAAGACTCCGTGGCGGGTGCTGAAGTGGGAGCTCTCCGAGGAGAGACGAAACCTTGGTTGCTGGCAGTGGGGATGGGTCACGGGGAACGGGGCTGGCACGGGGTTGGTTGGTCTGTCCTGCTCCGTGGCAGGGGTGGCTTCCCTGAAGTCATCCTGCTCTGCAGATGTTTCCCTGCCCCTGGGGGAGAGCAAAGCCCCAGCCCTGCAGCTGCGAACAGCCTCTCCTGGGTGCCTTTAGCAGCTCAAGCTCCACATTAGCATTTGCCCTGCAATTCCCAAATCCCTGCCTGACTTGCCACTGTAACCCTTGGGAGGGAAGAGCCCCCCCCGTTCACTGCTGGGGCCTCTCTCAATGGCTGTTTATGTGCAAAATGTTCTGGGTATTTTTGGACAGGGCTGGCAAAGTTGCAGCACCATCTGGGTCAGGGCAGGGACTGAATAACAAGCACTGCCCTGACCCAAATGCAACGGCGAGCTTTTGTCAGCACTCGGGGGTGGAGGGAGCCCTGGAAAGAGGCCTCGCTTCAGAAGCAGCTGCGCTCGTGCCTCCCCTGTGTCCCCACGTGGATCCAGACCCCTCGAACAGGCCCCTTTTGAGCTTGCGGCCTCCACGTAGATCCATGCGTTGGGCTCCTGCGATAGCTCCAGGCATGATTCCCCAGAG